GGCTGAGAGGCTGACGCTGAGGCTGATGCAGGCTGAGGCTGAAGCCGAGGCAGGCTGAGGCTGAGGCTGAGGCAAGCCGATGCAGGCTGAGGCTGAGGCTGAAGCTGAGGCAGGCTGAGGCTGAGGCTGAGGCTGTGGTTGAGGCTGTGGCTGAGGCTGAGGCAATCTGCGGCCGAGGCAGGCTGAGGCTGAGGCTGATGCAGGCTGAGGCTGATGCAGGCTGAGGCTGAGGCTGAGGCAGGCTGAGGCTGAGGCTGTGGCCGAGGCAGGCTGTGGCCGAGGCAGGCCGAGGCAGGCTGAGGCTGAGGCTGAGGCTGAGGACCTCCCGCCTCGGGCCCCCCGAGGCGGGCGGCCATCGGCAGGGCCGCGGGCCGTCTACATCAGGAAGGACGTCGAGATCGCGAAGTACGGGATCACCCCGGGCTGCCGCGGTTGCGCCGCGATCCTTAGCGGCGCCCGGGCGCAGGCTCACTCAGCAGAGTGCCGCGCTCGGATCGAGCAGGCGATGCAGGACGACGGCGAGGCGAAGCAGAGGCTCGAGGATGCCCGCGAGCGGAAGCGCCACCGCGCTGACGTCGCCGGGCTTGTTTACCAAGAGGGCGGCTCGTCAGGCAGCGGCGGAGCCCCAGCTCAGCAGGCGCCGCCAGCACCTGGGGCCGCGGCGGCGGCCGACGTGGCGATGGCCCCGGTACCTCGCGACCCTGGCGACGACAACATGCAGGAAGGGATCGGTGCCCTCCTGCTCTCCCTCGGCTACAGCGGGCGCAAGGCCGACGTGATGGAGGTATTATGCCCGAGTAGGCTTGTGGGCTTCGCCCCACTCTTCGGTCTGGTCCATGGCGGCTCATTCGACTCGAAGGTCGGCTGGGGCCTGACCGACCGCCGGCAGCAGCGACGGTGCCGGGAGCTGATCGAGCACTACGAAGTGCACTTCATCTTGGGCAGCTCTCGCTGCGCGCCGTTGAACGAGGGCGCGGAGAAGCAGCGCGAGGGAGCACTTGAGGTTCGTGATGGGGCTCTACACGCTGCAGGTGAAGAACGACCGCGCGGTCTTGCACGAGCGCCCCTGGAGCGCGGACAGTTGGGGCCTGGACATCGTGAAGGACGTGATGGCCCTCCCCGGCGTCGAGGTCGGGCGGGGCGACCAGTGCGCGTTCGGCCCGGCGGTCGCGGACGCGCGCGGCGACAGGCTCGCCGAGAAGCCGACAGGGTGGATGAGCAACAACAAGGAGGTGTTGGAGGAGGTCTGCAAGCGCTGCCCCAACGACACCGGCATTGGCAGCAAACGCGAGCACTCCACCTTCGTCGGCAGGAACATGCGCGTGGCGGAGAGGTACCCGGTGAAGCTCCTCCGCGCCATCCTCCGCGGTTTCCGTCGGCACCTTGGGAACAAGAAGGTGCTCGCGCTTTCGGCCCTGGACGCTGGGCCAAACGTGGGCGACGAGGAGATCAGCCCGAAGGACTTCGTCGGGAGGTGGCGCGACGCGCTGAGGACCGAGTTCTATGATGACCTCACCGGCCTACCGCTGGACCCCGCGCTGGTGAAAGCCGCGAGGCGCCTGGAGATGGATTTCACGGCGCAGCTCGGCGCGTGGGTCTACGCGAAGGACGAGGACTGCCAGCGCGAGCTTGGCCGCAAGCCTCTCAGCGCGCGCTGGGTTGACATCGACGAGGGCGACACCGACCGGACAGACTACAGATCCACGATCGTCGCGCAGGAGACCGAGGCACGGAGCACCATCGCCAGGGACATCGGCGCGGTGTTCGCGGCGACCCCGCCGCTGGAGTGCCTTCGGCTCCTCTGCAGCATGGCGATGTCAAGCGACCCGTCCGAGGGTCGCGCGCTGCGCTTCCTGGACATCTCGCGGGCACACCCGCACTGGGAGATCAAGAGGACGGTCTACGTCAAGCTTCCAGAGGAGGACCCGATGTCGCAGGAGGTCGGCACGCGCGGGCTCTTGCGGATGGCGCTCTACGGGACGCGCGACGCTGGCCGGAGCTTCGAGCTCGCGACCGCCGAGACTGTCATCGGCGCTGGCTGTGACCAGTCGGCCTTCTCGCCTTCCGTGCGCTGCCGCAAGGACCTGCAGGTGAGCTTCTCCCACCGCGGCGATGATTTCGCGCTCGAGGGCTCTCGGGGCGGGGCCGAGTCGATCGCGAGGCCCTGAAGACGAGGTTCATCGCGAAGGACAGGGGCGTGCTCGGGCCGGCGCCTACCGACGCAAAGGAGATCACGCGCCTCAACAGGGCAGTCCGCCGGCGAGACCGATGGAGCCAAGGGGGCGAGGCCATCGAGTACAGGCGGATCCTAGGCATGCGCAGATCCTGCACGCGTAGCTCGCATTGGACCCTCGCATTACGACGTCACTGAGCACGCCAGGGGTGAGCCAGAAGCTGACACCCGAGGTCGACCGCGAGCTGAGTGAGCACGAGGCAGCGGAGTACCGCAGCGCGCGCATGAGGCTGGGCAACTTGGCGCTCGACCGGCCAGAGGTGCAGTTCACGGCCAAGGAGTGCGCTCGCGGCGCGCAGAAGCCGACGGAGCGACACCTTCGCCTCCTGAAGCGCGCTGGGCGCTTCTTGATCGGGGCGCCGCGCGCCGTCTGGAGGTGGGGCCGTCGGCGGACACCGACGGCGATGGACATCTACTCGGGCGCTGACTGGGCAGGCTGCCCAATCACGCGGAGGAGAGCCAGTTCAGTCGTGATCAAGCATGGGCAGCACCTGATCGCGACGGCGTCGACAACTCAGATCCCCATCTCCATGGGCTCGGGGGAAGCTGAGTTCTACGGCTGCCTGCGAGCAGCCGGCAGGGCCATCGGCATGCAGTCACTGTGCCAGGGCCTAGGCAGGGAAGCGAGCCTTCGCATCTGGAGCGACTCGGCAGCGGCTCTTGGCATCATGCAACGACGGGGCCGCGGCAAAGTCCGACGCCTCGAGGCACCGACGCTGTGGGCGCAGAAGGCCTTGAAGGACGGCCGGTTTCAGCTGGCCAAGGTCCCCGGGAAGTCAAACCCGGCGGACCTGGGGGCGAAGTTCTTCGACCAGGCGGCGATGCTCCGAGGGCTGAAGATGATGAGCGTCGAGCTCTCGGACGCGCCTCTCTCGAGCGCCCTTCAGTCGAAGGTCTGAATCAGAGGCGCAGGTGACCATTTTGGCGCGGCCATTTTGGCCCGCAGTCTTTCCGCCCCGCGCTTTCATTGCCTTGGGCGGGCTGCGGTCGTCAGCGCGGTGATGGCGCGTGCTTTTGAGTGTAGTGCTCGACCGGCGTCGCGGTCCAGAGCGCCGCGCACTGTCGAGGAGCTTCGGAGCTTGATCAGGATTCTAGTGTCGCGCCTAGCTGAAGAGCTGGGCGGCGCGAAGGTGCCTGCGGGAATCCAGAGACCCCCAGCAGGTTTACTTCAAGAGAGTCTGTGCGTTGACGCTCGGGCTCAACTCATCATGGCAATCATCCGAGGAAAAGATCTCGCCACTGCGGCTCGCATGGAAACGTGCTGAGCTCACCTCGTGACTCGCATGGTCGAGAGCTGAGCTCGCCCCCTCCCTTACATGTGGCTCGCATGGGCGCGTGCTGAGCTCTCCTCATAACTCGCCTAGTCGCGTGCTGAGCCCACTTTCAAGACGTATCGTCGTTTTCTTGGCAACCTTCTCTTCAGAAGCGCTCCCGACACAACCTCCGACGAAATCAGGGGTCTCGGGTTCTCCGCCCCAATAACCCCATCCAGAGGCCCCCAGAAGCTCCCCAAAAGTTGTCAATAACCCCTGAAGAGGCCCCAAGAGGTCCCCAAGAACCTTCCAGAGACCTCGAGCAAGCCCCCAGAAGCGCCCAAGATGGGTGCAGCACTGCCCCAAGATAACCCCAGGACGGCCGGCGGTTCCTCGACGAGGCTTCACAGCGTCAAGCGGACAACACGGGAGCGTGATGAGACCCCAAGAGACCCCCAAGTATACCCCAAGATGCCTCAAGACCTTAAGACGCCTCCAGGAAGCCCCCAGAAGCTCCCAAGAGGGCCTCAGGACTGCCCCAAGACCCCAGGACTGCTGGAAGCTCCTCGACAAAGCGTCAGAGCGATAAACGGACAGCCCCGGGACTCTCTCAGGAGGGCGCCAGGACGGCTGAAGGACCTGAGGAGGCCCCAAGGGGCCCCCAAGACGACCCCAACAAGTCTCAAGACCTCACCACGCATCCAGGAAGCCCCCAGAAGCGCCCAAGAGGGCCCCAGGACTACCCCACGACTCCATGACTGCTGGAAGTGCCTCGACAAAGCCTCACAGCGACAAACGGACCGCCCCGAGATTTCCTAGCTCGTACGGCAATTTCTTGACCTCACCTTAGGAGGTCTCCAGCAAGCCCCCAGAAGAACCCAACAGGGCTTCAGGACAGCCCTAAGAGGGCCCCACGACGGCTGGAGGCGCCTCGACAAAGCGGCACAGCGTCAAACGGACAACACGGGAACCAGCAGAATGCGTCCTATAGGCATCCTCTACTTCGTTTTTCTCTGTCTCGCAATTCACGCCTACTTGTCCTCCAAGGTCGGGGTTCGTGACAATATCAGGTTTTTTGCACGATTGCGCCTCCACTCGAGGCGCCACGAGGCCATCGGACGTGTTTGGGGTGAAAGACGAAACAGTGCAAATTGACAGATATTTTAAAGAATCATCATCCGCATCATCATCATCATCATCATCATCATCATCATCATCATCATCATCATCATCATCATCATCATCATCATCATCATCATCATCATCATCATCATCATCATCGTCATCCTTCCCCCTTCACCTACTCTCCGGCGGCGAGCCCAGGGGGGAAGTGAGAGGGAGCAGGCCTCCTCAGAAGGCGGCGGAGCTTCCCGGATGCCCTCGCGCCTTCTGAGAAGCCGTCCGTGGCTTCGGAGACGGCATGCCCCCTTGTTCACTTCCCCCCCGGGCTCGCCGCCGATCCTCCCCCAGTCCTCCTGGCGGGGGACGCGGGCGGGGCGGATCCCGCAGTCGAGGTGGCGTTCATCGTCTGGTACCTCACGCCTGCGGAGCTGATCCTGCACGCCGTGGGCACCTTCTACCCGGGGTGCCCCGTGGCGGCTGGTGGAGAGGTGGCTGCGCGGGTTGCGGTCAAGACACTGACGTAAGGAACACTGGGCTCAGGAGGGGCTCTCGTATTCGGGCCGTTGGATTTCGGTCGGGGGACCTGTTTGTGGCCGCGCCTCGCCGGGGTCAGAAAAACCCCTTCGTTCCATACTCCAGCTTTCCGCATGGCAGCTCGGTGGCTGTTTGGCAGGTTCGAGCCGCGCTAATTCGGGGTTCCGAAGCCATCCTGCGGTTTATCGGCGGCTCCCTGTGACCCCGTACGAACCAGGCAGTTGTTAGGGAGGATTGCAGTGTTTTGTCATGGGGTTTCAGGCGCCCCCACTACGTCCGAAGTTGCTCTCGGCGAGGCGTTCGAGGATGGTTTCGTTCCCCGAGTCCGAGGATGAAGAAGATTCTTGGGCTCACGAGTCTGGTTTTCATGCGCAGAGCAGAAGTTCGCACCGAATTTTCGCTTGGCCAGCAGAGATTCGCACCGAACCTTCAGCTTGTTCCTCGCACTGCCGCCGTCGCGTCGGGTGGTGCTGTTGGCTCTCGTGCTGCTACTGCTGTCCGTTCAAGTGGCCAAGAAAGCATGGGTTCACCTCAATGTGGGGCTTGTCTTCGAGAGTCGAAAGAGTTGCCATCCCTCCCTCTGCGGAAGGCGGCGGAAGGTCAGTGGAAGTAAAACGAGGCCACCTCCGCCCGCGGAAGCCGGCGGAAGTTTGGCGGAAGCCGGCGGAAGCAAAAGTCGACCTCCCCAGAGATCACAACATGTTTGGGTTCAGGGTTTCTGGAGTCGGCCACACATATGTATACATATGTAAATATGCATACACATATGTTTATACACATACAACATACATACATACATGCATGTATGCATGCATGCATACATACATGAATCCATACATACATGCATGCATGCATACATACATGCATGCATCTATACATATACACATACATACATACAGAGACAGACAGACAGACAGACAGACAGACATACAGACAGACAGACAGACAGACAGACAGACAGACAGACAGACAGACAGACAGACAAACTGACATGCATACATACATACATAGATGTATATGTATTTGTCTAAATATGTATGTGTATATGTGTGTATGTATACATCGGAGGTTGGGGGGTGAGATCGCAGTGAAACGGAGACCCCCCACCGGGAAATCGGTTTCGGTTTCGTGTTCGTGTCGTGCGTGCGGGCGGGGCGAAGCTGCGCGTGATCCTCCTGTAGCTGGGCCGAAGTAGGAGCGAAAGTCCGTTTCCCGTCCGCCGGTGGCCGGGAGGTGTCCCAGTTGGGCCGGGCGGTGTCCCGGGTGTCCCGGGTGTCAGTAGGAGCGAAAGTCCGCTTCCCGTCCGCCGGTGGCCGGGAGGTGTCCCAGTTGGGCCGGGCGGTGTCCCGGGTGTCCCGGGTGTCCCTGGCGTCCCGGCGCTAACGCATGTCGCTAATTTCATAATTCATTTTTGTTCGGCGCCTGCGGCGGGCTTTCTTATTCAAGCCAGCTTATCATATCCAATCCATCTTGTCCAATCCAATCAATATTGTCTTATCTAACCCATCTTGTCCCATCTTATATATTCCACCCAATCCAATCCACCCAGCCCAATCCATCAATTCATTTGTTTTTGGGCCTGCGGCGGGCCAATCCAATCCATCTTATCTTATCCATTCCAGCTCTTCCAACCCAACCCATCTTATCGGATCCAACCCACGTCATCCCATCCAATCCAATCCACCCAACCCAGTCCATCAATTCATTTTTGTCGGCGCCTGCGGCAGGCTTTCTTATCCATCCCTGCTTACCATATCCAACCCATATTGTCCCATCTTATCTCATCCCACCCAATCCAATCCATCCAACCGAATCCATAAATTCATGTGTTTCTGCGCCTGCGGTGGGCCAGTCCAATCCATCCTATATTATCTAATCCATCTTTTCAAATCCAACCCATCTCATCTTCCCCAATCCATCTTATCCAATCCAATCCAATCGGCCCAACGCAATCCATCAATTCATTTTTGTCGGCGCCTGGGCGCGATCGCGGCAAACTGCGAGGCTCGAGCGTTCGGCGCCCTTGCCTTTCGGAAGCCGCCTCATGGCGCCCCTCCGCCCGCCTGCCGTGGTGGAGGGAGATTCTGATAGAGAAGGAGAGAGAGAGAGAGAGAGAGAGAGAGAGAAAGAGAGAGAAAGAGAGAGAGAGAGAGAGCGAGAGAGACAGAGACAGAGACAGAGAGAGAGACAGAGACGGAGAGAAAGAGAGAGATGAGATCAATGTGACAAGTTGGATGTCAGTCAGAGTGGGCATTTGATCTCACCCCCCCCGACCATATCGCCCGTATGGCGGTCGTATAGGTATGCATGTGCGTGTGTGTATATATATGAGAGAGCGTGATCCACCGCCGCTTTACTGTGGAAAATTGCCAACCTTTTCCTCCGGAGCCCGGGGTTCCCCCCCCCCTCCGAAAATCCCCCCCCTTCCCGGAACCCCTTCCCCCCCCCCCCCCCTCCCCCCCCCTCCCTCCCAGCAAAACCCCCCCCTTCCCCAACCCCTCCCCCCCCCCCCCCCTCCCCCCCGGGCCGGGGGGGTCACTGCCGGTTCGAACCCCTCCCCCCCCCCCCCCTTCCGGATCCGGAAAACGGGGGGGGTCACTACCGGTTGGACCCCCCCCCCCTTCGAAAACCGGAGGGGGGTCACTACCGGTTCGACCCCCCTCCCCACGCACCGCCAGCAAACGACTCCCGGTCCCTACCACCGCTCGCATCACATCCCCCACTGTTGATCCCAGCGCCACTGTCCTCACCACCACTGTCCCCACTGGTTCCACCACCGTCCCTATTGTCCCCACCAATGCCACCACCACTGTCGCACTGTCCCCACTGTTCCCACAACTGTTCCCACCACGGTTCCACTCTCCCCACTGTCTCCACGGACCCAACCACTGCCTATCCCCATTGTCCCCACTGTCCCACTGACTCCTCCGCTGTCCCACTGAGCTGTCCCACTGTTTCCACCACTGTCCCCACTGTCCCCACCACTGTCCCCACTGTACCTCTGTCCCATTGTCCCACCGCCGTCCTCGCCACCGCCTTTACCAGTGTCTCCACCACCATTGTACCCTCCACTGTCCCAGTGTTTCCACCTCATTCCCACTGTCCCCACACCACTGTCCCCACCACCACCGTTCCCACCACTGTCCACTGTCCCCCCTGTTCCCACCATTGTCCCCACCACTGTCCCCACCACTACCGTCCCCACCACTGTCCCACTGTCCCACTGTCCCCACCACTGTCCCGCTGTCCCCTCACCACTGTCCCCACCAACACCGTCCCCACCACTGTCCGCACCCCCACTCGGTTTTCGAGGGGGGGGGGGGGGGTTCAAACCGGTAGTGACCCCCCCCCGTTTTCATGATGAGCTGGGGGGGGGGGAGGGGTTCGAACCGGTAGTGACCCCCCCGGTTTTCCGGGGGGGGGGGGAAGGGTTCGAACCGGTAGTGACCCCCCCCGGTTTTCCGCCAGCAGCGGTAGAACACGTTCTTTCATATATATATATATATATATATATATATATATATATATATATATATATATATCAGCAAAAGGCTTCGCCCCATGCCGCCGGCCCCCTGTCTCGGATAATGGGAGATGCCAAAAGCTAAACCGTGAAGTCCTGGGCGCCGCCGTGAAGCAGCGTCGGGACTTGTTTGTTTTTTCGACCCTGACCTTACGGATCTGCATGAGGGGCGCCGCCGAATTTAGACACGTTGCAAATCCCTTGTGTTTTTGGACCATGACCCTACGGATTTGCGTGAGGGGTGCCGCAGGATTTCAGAAACGTGGCGCATCCCTTTTGTGTTTCTGGACATTGACCCTGCCGATCTGCGCGATGGGGGGCCGCCGAAATTCAGATATGTTGCAGATCCCTTGCGCTCTTGGACCCTGACCCCGCCGATTTGCGCGAGGGGTGCAGCCGAATTACAAAAGTGTTGCACATCCCATGTGTTTTCGCGTAGTGACCCCGCCGATCTGCGTGAGCGGCGCCACCAATTCTCAGAAACGTGGCGAATCCCATGTGTTTTTGGACCCTGACCTCGCCGATCTGCGCAAGGGTGCCACCGAATTCCAGAAACGCGGAAAAACAAAACCATGTGGTTTTGCACTTTGACCCCGCCGATTTGTTTGAGGGGCGCCACCGAATTTCAGAAACGTGGCAAATCCCATGTGTTTTTGGACCCTGACCCCGCCGATTTGCGTGATGGGTGTAAGTTGTGGCCATTCCAGCAATTCAGAGCGCACGTTCAGGGCGCAGTACAAAAATCCCTTTTTGAGCCTCCCCCCCTCGCGCGGTCCATCAACAACGAACAGTAAACAGCAAGAAGCAGAACTGTAACCGTGGTAGTTGGAAGCTGCAAGCTGTAACAGTGGAAACTGGAAGCTGCAACTGGCACAGGAAACTGCGAACCTTCGCCCTACAACCTGGTGACCCCGCAAGGGGGCAGGCGGATACATCTCTATGTGTGCATATATGTATATATGTATATATATATATATATATATATATATATATATATACATACATACCTATGCATATACATTTACATATACATACACATATGCATCTATATAGAAATACAAAGAGACAGAGAGAGAGATAGAGAGAGAGGGAGATAACAAAAACAATAAACACAACAAAAAAGAGAAAGAGTAATTGACGTGTATATATATATATATAGAGAGAGAGAGAGAGAGAGAGAGAAAAAAAGAGAGAGAGAAAGAGAGAGAGAGAGAGAGACGGGCCCCCCGAAGGCCTTCAGGAGGCCTCCAAGTTGCCCCAAGCCGTCCCCAAGACGCCTCCAAGAAACCCAACAGGTTCTCTCCCGGACCAATCAAGACCCCTTCCAGAAGACCTACGAGTCCCGCAAAACGTCCCAAAAAGGCCCTGGGAGGCTGAAGTCGCCCCATCCTATTCCAACTTAAAAA